GTTCAGAATATATTTCAATCTTTCTTTTATCTTCTGGTACATGACAAAATAATAAATCATTTTATATTATTCGTAGAAAACCATTGTGGGTTTTCTAACCTAACCATTGCTAAAATAAAAAAAAAAAAAATAAACCTAACCTAACGTAACAGTTGATCATGTAAGAGGTATTTACGTGAGTATCATTCAACATCCCTTTGTATATTAAAACCTTCATGACAAATGACGCATATTCAACTTTTAGCTCGAATTCTAAAGGTTTGCATCTCGGAGGCTGTATAAGCAATTCCCTGCGGCTTGCAACACATCACTCATGCACTGCGATGCTTAAGCCTCACACGACTTACATAAGTAGCTAGCGAAGGCACATTTTGGCACAGTCCCAAAAAGCACCAACCGCGCTCTATTTTATTTGCCGTAACCAAAGTATTGAAATGCATAAAATTATTTATGGTTATACCTTTGCAGAAAGTTGAGGAATTTAAATTGGTGTTTTCATTCGCGACCTGCTTTTGTTTTCGCGATTATTAAACGTGAATAAATAAGAAAGCTACAGTTCGTTTTTTGGCAAGTTTTCGCTATTGTTTCCCATATTCTCAAACTATTTCTGGAACCAATCCTTTCTTTTCATTGGTGGTCAGTAGACGAAGGTTTTAGCGTAAAAGGTAGTCTCTCAAAGCATAGCTACTATCTACCATCGACCTAGCTTCTATCTTATGTATCTAGTGACAACAAAATTTCCATTGTTAGGAAGTTCATCAAAATCTAGTCCAATCAATCAATTTATATTCTAAGAATCATAAAGGTCAATGACCACGCCACATCAATGAATTGAGTTCGTTACTACATTATTGATGCAACAATATCGACCTTGACCTGTATTTAGCACTTTATAGTTAGTTTAGCAAATTGTTTAGCACTAAACACAAATGAGGTCTAATTTATTGGAAGATAGACAAACGATGGTCTGTGTGTTGTAGATTGTTTGTGGTTGTTGTATGTAATAGTGCTATGTTACATTTAATTTGACTATATTTGAATGTCACTGTGACCAATGTTTTATTCTCTATTAGCTTCTGCCAGCGGCAAGTTATTGTTGTTTGGTGTATATACTGTTTTGAGATAAATAGTACCTAGTGTTGCCTAAGATATTAAAGTATAATCCTACCAAGTTTCATCCTAATCGGACTGGTAGTTTTTGCGTGCTGCGTGAACATTCAGACAGACAGACATTCTTTTAATAACATTTTTGTCCATCTAGTATCACTACTATTATTTTTTTTAATATTTTCAATGTACATAATTTACACTTCTACGGTTTTATTATATGTATAGATTAATATATTAATAAAACTTTGAATTATAAAAATAGCACATTTGTTCTAAGTAGGCATCACTTACTTTGTCGAATACAAATTCATAGAATTCCAATTCATTCATCCACTGAATAAATCTATGCGATTTTTCTGAGAATTTTCTCAGGCAATAAAAATATTAGTTTATCTTAACTGCCAATATCAAAGCATACATGCTTAGCTGCAACATATATTTTGAAATCTTCTAAATTCAAAATAAAATTAATTAGTTATAGATAATCTGTCATCCGTAGCGTCGAGGTCGAAAAATAAAGGCAATTATCGTCGTCTGACCGTACATAATACTCTATACACATGTCGCAGACGTGCAGAATATGGTACAGTTAGCAAATACATTTTGTATCCTTGAATAATAAAGTAGGCTTCGACTACATTATGGCCATTTTAAAATAAGATTTTGGGCATTGGAATGTTATAATTAACTTCTAAAACAGAATATTGAATAGAAAGAGTTGTATTTATAGCAAACTCCATCCATGCATATTGGTTTTGTTGTCTGTACCTTTGTTAAGTTTCACGTCGTCACGTCACGCGTGTGGGGGCGCCACTGTCGCGCCGCCTCGTTATAGGGAACTACGTGACGAGACTGAACGTGGTCTCTGTTTTGGTTGATGTCTAGTAAACTGTATAACAAAATAAAAAAGGTTTTTGGAGAGGTAAATAGTACGTATGTATTTACCTGTTTCCTTGAACAACAGAAAGTAAAAGAGTTAAAAATGTTCGTTATGAAATCGTGTCTAAGCTTTAATATAGTTTAGGAGTAGAGTGTTATTAGTAAATATAGTTTTCTTTTTTATATTTAGATCGTTAAGAATAGACGTAAACCGCGAAAATGATATCCATTTTCTCCCGCGCAAAACGCCCCCAAATAACTCTAACAAAAGAGCGTGAAATAAGTTTTTCTCGTTCCAAGTTTTTGTTAGCTTGGATATTAGTAGTCATATAACAGCACAATATACGTCCATGTTTATTATCCCTTCGGACACGAAACGAAGGATTTTACGAAATGTTTATAGATGTTCCACATTAAAAAGAGGTCAGAAAAGTAAAAAATTGTCGGATAACAAGAAGGCGTGTTTTCTTTTGTTCTTATTTATAAGTGTACCCGCATTTCATTATGATTTATTCGGAGAGTTATCCAATATTTATGTGTTGTTCGAGTGGAAATAAATATACTGGTCGCGGGATGAAGGAAAATTTATCAGTCGGAAAAACGAAATAAAACAACAGAATGCTCCTTCTTAGTATTATTAGAGACCCACTTTTGAAAGCAATAAAGTGGATACTCGAGTTTTTGTTCAAATTTTCTCGAATTAAAAAGGGGGAACTTGCTTTTTCGATTAACTTTATTAGAATTCATTTGATCGTACGCTAGGAGATTGCTAATGAGTGTTGCATCCCTTTCTGATCGTAATACAAATTTGCTTAGCCTCTTTTTACCTGTACAATTTTCCGAAAACAATGCTGACTATAAAGGTAAATTGCTTTATGCAAGCTTTAGGTCATCATGCGCTTAATATAACTTGTCTCTCTCACTACCGAAAGTGACAACTCAGCTTAGAGTTGTTCTTTAATTTCACTTTATTATGTCAGATGTGACAATGATAGTTTAGAAAAATATTGTGCAACAAAGGCGCCATCTAAAGTAGAAAAAATACAATGAAGAAACTAAAGTTTCTATTAGCCATAATCTGGCTTGTCTAATAGTTTTCCATGTAACAAATTCCATCATCAAAGAGGTTTACTTTTCACAATATTCTCGTTAGACCGACCACCCACAGAGCTAAAGAACAAATTACCTACATAATTTTGACGCATTAGAGGTTCTTAGAATCCTTTTATAATATTCATGGCATGATACTCAATTAAAGATGATGACTTGCCCAATTGTTGAGAGAAACTAATATAGAACAAAATATTTGTGTAAGGTCTAAGGAATCTTTGACTTTCTATAAAGTTATTTGTGTAAATCGTGAGTGACGGGTTGTCGTCCCAAGCGGTAGCTGGCCCAATTTGCAAGGGATGACAAGCAACAAAAAATAACTTAAACACATTTATTTGCCTTATGATCGTCCTTTTTATTTTGTCTTAAGGTTCACGAAATATTTTTATTATGTGACCAGTCTAAATGCTATAAAATTATTTGATTTGATTTTGAATACAGTGACGATATATTTCGATGGTTGGTATTAACATAATTAGGAATAATCTTCTTAAAATTAGTGAAGCAACTTGGAACGTTACCTCTAGTGATAATTCTCCATACTTGATGTAGCTTACTCATTCCACTCTATAGGAATGGGGAATAAGAATCAGATTTTTCGTAATATACAGACTTTGTATATGAAAATGAAGTCACACCGGTATTTCAGCTGAATAAATTAGTCCTTCGGCAAATATCACTACGAAAATAAAGACAAAAGCTACAATGGAGACTTCGTTAATTCCCTTTTCCACAATCTTACGGTTTTAAACAGATATTATATCACTGTTACTCTAGGGAAAATATTAATTCTGTAAAAGCGGATTGTAGGCTGTATCCCGTCGGCACCGCGGGACAGGCTTATTTTATTATTATGCGTCTTCCCTAGTACTTTGGAGCTCATTTACATGTGATACGGGCATACTTTAATATTAATACGCCTGGGATTTATGGCCTGATACTTTTCAATTAATTGGCCTCTTAAAATCAGTGGAAGTGTTGGTAATTTATGGATACGTCCAATTAAGGCTTGGTGAGATTAATTTCTCGTACATTTATTGGAGAAGTTTCAGAGTCAATTATAAACTGCTTGGAGGATGGGAGCTTGGGAATAAGTAGCATGATATTCTATGTTCTCGCAGCAACCTCCTTGTGTTTGATACTTTTCTAGTTTATTGATAGTTTTAGTTACGTTTGTATTAAAACTTTCGGGAGACGTACTTAATTAATTATTATGTTTTCGGATTACTCATGCAACTGTTTGACGATTAACTGTACTAGTCTCAAGCCATGCTAGAGGCTTATATTTATGAGCAGCTTTTTGCGACGATCGCCGTGTCGCGTATCGCGAAATGCCTATGTAAGCAAGCCGAAAACATAATCAGTTTTAGCAACTAAAACTATTACTCCTTGCAGTTGCAAAGCAGTAGCTTACCAAAACTAATGGATAGTGGCTTACATATAAACTTAACTTTCTTTTAAGTATAAGTACCATAAAACTACTTAAATACATTTTCACCTACCACGTTGATCGTAATTACGATACTATTACAGAAGTCAATGTCACGCCTCCCATTAAATGTTAATAAATAATAATGGCCGCCTACAACGACATAATCTACTAAAAACCACATTAATTTGTAAGGAGGCTTTCTCTAAAATGGACTTAAATTACTGTTATTAAGTGTCATCATCGCAATTGTGTTTGTATAACTTTTAACTTTTTAAGAACAGTAGGTGTCATCTATATATATAAAAATCAATGCCACTTTTCGTTGTAATTCCATAACTCAAGAACGGGCTCACCTATCCAAACCAAATGCTTAGGATTTGGTCGGCATATTTAGTAGATGGTTTATGTGAAGTTTGCACAAAATCGGTCGAGCGGTTCCTCATTTGTCACATTTTTTGTAAAAAATGAATTCAATAGAAACTTTTTTCACAGAAACTTTTTTGAAGTTTTGTTGACAGGACAAGCACGTTGTTATGTCATTCATGCCGTCAGTTCATTTTGGACGTGGTTTGATTAAAGCATATTATCAGCGATAAATTTCTTTTCACATAATTGCATTTGCAGTGCATTCATACAAACGGTGAGTCCTGAATTTATGTGTACTTTTCTAAGTTGCCGTATATGATTTCACATAGCATCATATGCGACAGCTTCTTGGGAATTTGTTTTTTTTTTTGTTCTAATTTTTTTTTTCGATTTTTAAGCGAAAACATATGTGCATACGGGAAAAATGCCACCAGCCAGACGAGCAAATATAGGTCGGCGAACGCGTAATGCAAATGATGTGGCATTACTAAGACGATCACAGACTGCAGATGAACGCGCACAAGCTAATGCATCGCAGCGTGAACGTAATGCACGCAATGGATTTGTTAACCCAGTACCTGTACTGAATCTTGCACGGCCATCACGAATACGTCGTGCTGTTTTGGCTGAAATGATGCGTGCTGCTTTTAATTACAACAGTCAGATTGATTATAGTATGTATGGATACATTGGAATGATGGACGCAATATGTCCACATTGTGATGCGGCTAACTTTCCAGGTGAAACGCCCGGCATGTGTTGTGCTAATGGCAAAGTGAGATTGCCAGCATTAGAAACTCCACCCGAACCATTGTATTCATTTATTTTTGGGACATCGCAAGCGTCGAAGCACTTTCTGAGTCATATTCAACAATACAATTCGGCATTTCAAATGACTTCTTTTGGTGCAACTAAAATTATTAGAGATAATTTTATGCCGACGTTTAAGGTAAATACTTCAACAGGATTATTCCATGTTTGTATCAATCTGAAGCATAAAGTATATTTAAAAAAAAACTGATATAAGATTTACCTAAAATTGTATACATGTTACAGATTCAGGGCCAGATTTATCATCAAGCTGGTTCGTTCAAAGTTGGTTCTTCGATTATATTATTGCGAAATATTAATCCACCAAAACTGTGTAACGGAACCAGATTGGCAGTGAAAAAGTTATTGCCAAATTTGATTGAAGCTACGATCTTAACTGGTAAATCAAAAGGAGAAGTTGTTTTGATACCGCGTATACCTATGATTCCAACTGATATGCCTTTTGAGTTCAAACGTTTACAATATCCTGTGCGTTTATCATTTGCGATGTCCATCAACAAGGCCCAAGGTCAAACACTTCACGTTTGTGGTGTGAATTTGGAGGAACATTGTTTTTCACATGGCCAGTTATATGTTGCCTGTTCCAGAGTCGGTACCCCCAGCCGTTTGTTTATTTATGCTCAAAATGGAAAAACAAAAAATATTGTTTATCCAAATGTTTTGGATTAAGTGTGTTGTAAATAGCTAGCAATTGATTTCGATTTTAAATAAAATATTTTTTTGATTAAATAAATGAATTTGATGTTCCGATTTGTTTATTTTATTTCACTTTATACGTAGCGAAGCACGTACCGGGCCGCTAGTAACTCATAAGATATTTGATATCTGTCCCATATATCTAAATCAATTTCCGCATGTTTGATGGAGCAGTACTCGAGAATAGTTCTACCGATATTACTGTTTTTTTTTTCTTAGTATTCTTCTTCAAGAAACATGCCGTGGAGATAATTTTATTTAATTTTTAATGACTTAGTACAGTAACTCCTTTTTAATTTCTACCTGTAATTGAAGTCATATTAGACAAAATTTTACTACAGATGCATGTTAAATCAAACAGTTATAGGTTTAAAAACAAGAAATCTAGTAAATTAATTTCCGAGCCAGATTTTAGTCTTTAGTTTATAGGCTGTTAATTCCGTTTGGAATAACGTCGAACTGTCAGTGGATGATCAAGATTTGTTCAGACTACTGCGAACTAATTGCTTTTTTATTGTACACTCATTAACGCTCATTTCCTATACTTCCGTCTTAGAGCATTGAGATGGATTTAAGAGCGAATTTTGATTAATTTATCGATCTGCAAGATCGTGATGAACCTATTTAATCAGACAGGGTATGGGAACTTAAAATTATATGATTTCTCAAGCTGTATCTACTACTGGCCAATTTGTTATTTTGTTAATATTTAGTTTCACATAATATGCTAATAACGGAAATCGACAATTCATTTTATGGTGTAAAATGTTGTATTAAAATTATATGAAGCACCGTACGGTATTTCATTTAATTTACTGTATAATAATTATATTAAGAGTTAAGTATCAGTGGCATTAACTCGATATCAGTAAGTGCAATTATGTTAGTAATCAATGCTTATTTTGGAAGCCAAATTATCTATTTATATTTGTTTATCCAAAACGTCCTCCAATATAAAACATTCAATTCTATTCCCAGAACATCGAAACATTACTCCTAAATAATTCAGAAACCGGCGTTAACACGGTCTTTACAGCTAACACAGTAAGCTAACATAATCTTCTAGGTATGGCGAATCAAAACACCCCTCAATCGCTTAGTTAGACAAACAACTACATGAAGCGTTAATTTCCAAAGAGCGATAACACGAATTGGAATTTTCGGGGTGTTGGGCCCAACCGCAGCAGACGGGTTAGTTTTCACGCGCCAAGATATACTGAGTGCGAAACACTGCGAGAACTAGCAACTAATTTTGTGTTGAAATTTAACCGGTACCTACAGGAATTAATTTTACACTCAGCTAGGAAGCTTTCGGGGTACCTTTAAGCTAAGCTGCAAATCCTGAATTATTTATTATTTTCTAATTGCTTCTTTAAAGGGTTTCGGCAAGAAATTATAACTACTTTTTTGTAGCAGTTGATATAAAATCGAAAGAGCCTGATCGTAATTACTATACCTAACCTCGCCTGAAACACAGGTGTCCTAGTTCAGACACCTTATATTATGAACCTTATATAGCTTTAAGCAAAACTGTATATTTCTAGACTGTTATGTTTGAAAATATATATATTTTTTTACTGTTTGCTGATTCAACTTTCGTCATAAAATCTTTAAGTTTAGTTTAATAAAAGATCTTTGAAACTCCTTGCTTCATTTTTTATATACGGCTATTAATATTAGCAATGTTTCCCGTAAAGACTGGAAGCTCCGTTTGTGTGCTAAGCTAAAATGTAGATGTAAAAACGGCCAACCGCTAAACGTTAGTGTTGCTAAAACTAATTAATATTGTTCAGTAATATTGTTTACTTTGCAACTCGTATGTGTCATAAACTTGTTTCCGTTTATGAGTATCTTAGTTTGTAGTTGGAAATATTAATTAGTTCTAAACTTTATGGTACGTTTCTATGAATTTTATTCCGTTTGGGAGTAACTCTATAATAAAATTATATCCGTTCCTGGAAATGTCGCAGATATGATACGAACTGAAATTGATATAAGGCTTTTAAAGTGAAGTTAATGTTTGACATAGTAGCTAATTTGTTCCTTTGTGATTATTTTAATCAATGTGGAAATTAGACTAATCATAATTATCTAAAGTCCATATTATTATGTACGAAAACAATGACAAAACCGACCAAATTAGTACCTATACGTAATGTTAGAGGTGAGTGAACCAAGTGTGATGTTAGTTCTCATTGCACTTTTCACGTTTCATATTTCCCAAACCACTTTAGCTCGTCAAATGCCGACGCACTGGGTAAAACAAACACCAGCTTCACTAATCTTTCCAGCTGGATTTATCCCTTCGGCGTTGAAATGTATGCACAACCATGCCCCCTGTTTGCAAAACCGTGATACTGCTGAAATTAGCCGTTCACACATCACTCGCGTTTTGCCGGTTTACGCTTCCCTGGATGACGTTGTCAATCAATGCGATCGTTCCCTTCGTTATCATGATTTCGGGGTAGATTTTTATCGTTTTCAAATGAATCAGTTTAAAGAATAAATTCATCGATATTTTGATCATTTACAATGCAAATTATGTTCGAAAAAACACCTAAAACTGTCAGTAATTACTTGTAATATTTAATTTAAAAAATTCCATTGTGTAGGTACAATTTATGGTTATTTAATTTTACACCCCAGCATAACTCAAAACTATTAAAAACCTTTCCCAACGAAACAATATTCGATATTACATCAAAAATATGTACTTCAGTAATGCTATTTCCATCAAAATGCTTTCAACGCGTGAAATCCACGCAAAACTCATTGGTCCGACACACGTGTTTAAAAAACATTTCGCACAACAAAAACCTAGTAATTGGTGTTCACCTGACTTTTGCGGTATAATAAATAGATCCTTCGCTAGGGGAGGTTTTCGTAGGGCTGCATTTGACGAGAGCCGTGGGCGACATGACGGAAAATTGGACGGGAAATATAATTGGAAAATTATAAGGGTTCGCCACTTCCCTGCTAGTGCACCTACGGGTTGGACCCTGAGGGCGAAAGTCTTCTTACTTGCTGCCCCTTAACATGTCCAAATTGGAAAATAATTTGATTCTAAGCGAAAAATTGCAAGACATACGGCCCGAAACCATTGACAAATAATATTTATTACATTTGTCATTGTGGTTTGTTATAAGCTAGCAAACCGTAACCGAACACCCATATTGTTTGGTACCCCATAAATTCTATTTGAGGAAAGTATTTGGAGTTGTATTAGCAAATGGCACGCGTGTAGCTGTTTTATTTTTATTTAGTCTGACCTTTGCGGCCCTCATTCCAATTACGTTCGCGAAAAGTTTTCTCATTAGGTTAGCATGTTTTTTTAATCCTACAACATTGGCCAAATAGCAATTCCACACAGAGAAGATACTGTCAACAGAATAAGGCAATTTCCACACCGCGGTACATACCAGTGCGCTGGTGCGGTGCGCGATAGAGCGGATTTAGTGTTCACTAGTGTGATAGGGATCCGTGGTAGCTTTACACTCGACGTAAACTGTGCCCTCATGCGGAAAGGCGGCTACTGTGTGTTTAGTTTCGACAGTTCCAAAACAAAGTGTCAAATAAATATCATAGCGGTTATGTTTTGACGTTTTGTTATTTGTACATCTGAATTCATTACGAAAATAACAAAGGGAATTATTGAAATAAGTGGGAGGACTATAGTAACTTTCATTACTATTTCTTTTATTAATAACAGTTTAAATTAGTAAGTCCTAACTTTAAATTACCAACAGTAATACACTTATCATACTCAAGAGATGAATCAAAATCATTTTACTTTTTAACACAAGCAATACCTACACATGACGTGTACATCGATCTATCAAAATTCTGCCTCAATCAGTCCCCCACCTTCCGCATTCAGCACATGACGGATGTTCATTCTTCCAATGCAATTTAGCGGGATAAAGGCACCCACTAGAAGTCTATTATTTCATAAAATATTAATTTGTATTTGCAAAATAATGTTCTAACTACATCAGTTGTTATCTGAATAATTTGTTATTGGTTTTCGTATTGTTTTAAGTCAAGCCAATACCATTCACATTTTCCAAGTTGTCCTGCCTAACGGAGTAGTGAAATTGCTTTGCGTTGAACATTTCACTTTTTTGGCACACACGTCACTATTTCCAATTTTCTGCTGGTGCGATTGTCACACAATGTTACAGAGAATTTTCTAATAAAGTTGTTCCATACAAATGGTTCTGTGGTTCTATTTCGCTCGAGTCGACTGCGAACTTCCGAACAGCTCCCTATATTCAACATGTTGGATTCAAGTAAAGGCGTCTCTTTCACTTGTTTCGTTGTTTTGCTATTCTTTGGGATCGAGGTCCCGTCTCTAGATGATATTGTTTCAACGCAAAAGGAATGTAATAAAGAAGTATTTTATTACATTTTCCTGGTTACCATCGAACAAATATGATTATACATTTTTGTCAATCACAATGACGCCTACACTCATTGAATCATTTGGTTTTTGTGTTGCGGATTCATAAGGCCGATTGTTCTAAAATCCGCAAGTAATTGATACAACAGAAGGC